TTCCTATTGATAGGGAAAAGAGCTGATTAGTTTATGGCAAAAGGCAGGTCCAGCCGTTTCGGAGATACGGAGCAAAGAGGTGCAGAAAATAGAAATCGAGTTTTTGAGAGAACGGAGCATCCGATGTGAATTATCTAAAAAAAATTCAATTAGTAATGATTGGGAGAAGTGTTTATTAGTTTTTGGCAAAGGCAGGACCAGCCATTTCGAAGATACGGAGCTAAATATGTAAAAAAAATGGCAGTTTTGAGGAGAGAACTGAGCGTCCGATTTAAATGATTCGAAGAACTTTCTGCTTGTCTTAACAAAATAATTGATTTTGGAAAAAAAAATTTGTTCCAATTTTTTTTTTTTTTTTTTTAGTTTTTTGTATATCGAAAATATTTCAGATTTTATTTTATTATTTATATTAGACAATGTGATACAATATTTATAATAATCTATTTGAAACATTCAGTATTCAACGGGAAGTTCCAGCAATTTGCCTTAAGGCACGATGCCATAATTGCCTCAAGACAGAATTCCACTTACAGCTAGTTCAATTTTGTATGAATACTATTGAAAAATGTGAAAATGGCGCCAAGCTAAGCACAGTATAAGTGAAAATGCCGCACAGAATTATTTGCAAATGCACTTTTTCGAATTTTGTGTAAATTAGACAAATTTTTTTTTTGAAATTGAAATGAAATGACGATTGTTAATGTTCTGGAGATAAATTGATTTATTTATGATTTACATTTTAATTCAACTTCTTAGGTTGGCGATGTATAAATTAGTAAAATAGAATTTTATTTTTGAAGTAAAACTTCTTAAGTCGCGATGTGATATAGAGTCTGCTTTGATTAAACGTAAAAGAGACAACAGTATATAGTGAGAAAATCAGAGAGAGAGAGATATATATATAAAACACTAGTGCGAAAAAGAGCAACATATACCCGACAGTGTAGAGTGACAGAGTAAGATACATGATTATGATGTAACCTCCAAAATTTAGCAAATACCTTTTTAAATGTAAATTTTTGTTTAAAAGGACAAGAGATACCAATTTTTGTTGTTAATAAAAATGTAGATAATTTAATTGGCTATAATTTGCTGAATATTGTAAAATGGTGGGACATTTCGTTTTGAAGTTATAAATAAATAAATAAAAATCGAGCTGGTCCAAAGTGTGAAGCAAGATATACTGATGCAACCTCCAAAATTTAACAACAACCTGTTTCATTGCAAATTTTGGGTAAGAGGATATGAGATACAACATTTTGTTATTAACAAAAGTTGTAGATAATTTAATTGACTAAGAATTTGCTGGATATTGCAAAACAATCGGACAATTTATTTAGAAGTTATAAACAAATAAAAATCGAACCGGTCCAAAAGTATAAAACGAGATCATAATATATTAAAATGTAGCCTCCTCAATTTAACAACAATCATTTTAGTTCTTATAAATGCCGCCAAGCTAAGCACAGTATAAGTGAAAATGTCGCACAGAATCATTTGCAAATGCGTTTAGACTGTGACTATACAGGAGCATTTTTTCAATTTTGTGTAAATTAGGCAACGTAGGTATTTCAAAAATTTTTTAAATTGAATTCGAAATGAAATGACGATTGTTAATGTTCTTTAGATAAATTGATTTTAAATGATTTACATTTGATTTGCTCAGATATAACAAACAAGATGGCAAAAATAATGAAAGTTACAATATTTGTAATACCACGTTTAAAATTTCTCAAATATTTCATTACGGTACGGGAAGTATCAGCAATTTGCCTTAAGGCACGATGCCATACACCACTAGTTTAATTATTTATTTCTTTTTTTTTTCTAGTTGGGTGAAAACCACGACAAAACCAAAGAATCCTCAGACTGCCTCCGTCACCTCACACAGCAGGCTGTCGTCTTGCAGAAGAAGATGAACGATTTGTACACGGGCAAACCAGGTTCAGGAGCAGGTTTACCCCCCGTCCAGATCCAGCAGCCCTCCATGGGTTCCGTACTCGACATGCTCAACGTCATCAACGGCATCCTGTTCGTGCAAATCAGGTCTGAGATACACGTTTTAGTCAAATTGTGATGAAAGAAGATGATTGATGATGATCGATGATGATGGAAATGGTGAATGATTATTGGAATGGAAGGATGGTTTAAGAATTATTTTTTTACTAAATGAAATGATGGTTATGACTGAATGGTGTCGTTGTTGACTTGATGTGAACGAAGATAAATATTTTGTAATTTGTTAAAATGTTATTTTTTGGTTTGTGATAATGTTTGTTGATTGTTATAGATTTTAAATGGAAATATAATGAACGGTTGTTTGGTATTTTTTTAAAATTGGTTTTATCTATCGTAGGATAAATATTTTTTAATAATATTGACTCCTTTATATTATTTATTACAACTTTAGTATTTACAAAAAGGTGATACTTCTTAATGTCTAACTTAATGTGTAACTAAAAAAAGGGTAGAAACTGATATTTAATTATTCCTGTTTTTTTAAGTCATATTTGTTTAAGTGGAGAAATATGCATAAAAATATTTTTGGATATTTATAAAGAAATTATGATGGCTAAAATTAAGATACGAAATGTTAGAGTGCTATTTTTATTAATTATAGCATAGCATAGCATTAATGATAGATCTAGTTAGATATGCAAATTTTTAGAATACGTGCGACATTTTTAGGCTGTTTATAATATTTTTGGGCAGTTTGCAATATTTTTAGACCATTCACGACATGATTAAACTGTTTGAAGTTTTCTAGGGCTGTTTGAAACTTTCTGAGGTTATTCACAACATTTTTGAGATGTTTGCAGCTTTTTTGGGGAGTTTGAAACTCTCTGGGGCTGTTCACAACGTTTTTCTTGGGCTGTTTAAGACATTTTTGGGACGTTTACGGCATAATTGGACTTTTAGAAACTTTATGGGGCTGTCTGAAACTTTCCGGGCCTGTTTACAAACATTTTTTTACTTTTGAAACTTTGTGGGGCTGGTTAAAACTTGCTTAGGATCTCCAAAATTTTCTGGGACTGTCTGAAACTTTCTAGGGTTGTTTGCAACATTTTTGGGCTGCCTGAATTTTTTTGGGGCTGTTTGCAACATTTTTAGACCGTCTGAAACTTCCTAGGGCTGTTTGCAACATTTTTAGGGCTGTCTGAAATTTTTTGGGGCTGTTTGCAACATTTTTAGAACTGTCTGAAACTATCAGGGGCTGTTTGCAACATTTTTGTGGCTGTTTGCAACATTTTTGTGGCTGTTTGCAACATTTTTAGACCGCCTGAAATTTTTTAGGGCTGTTTGCAACATTTTTAGACCGCCTGAATTTTTTTGGGGCTGTTTGCAACATTTTTAGACCGTCTGCAATTTTTTGGGGCTGTTTGCAACATTTTCAGACCGTCTGAAAATTTTTGGGACTGTTTGCAAACATTTCAGACCGTCTGAATTTTTTGGGGCTGTTTGCAACATTTTGGACTGTTTGAAACTTTCTGAGGCTTTTCACGACATTTTTGGGGATATTTAGAACATTTTTGGGGATATTTAGAATATTTTTGAGGCTGTTTGCAACATTTTTAAACTGTCTGAAACTTTCTGGGGCTGTTCACAACAATTTTTGAGCTGTGTGAAACTTTCTGGGGCTGTTCACAACCTTTTTGAGCTGTTTGAAACTTTCTGATGCTTTTCACGACATTTTTGGTCTGTTTGAAGCTTTCTGAAGCTTTTCACGACATTTTTGAGCTTTTTGAAGCTTACTGAAGCTTTTCACGACATTTTTGGACTGTTTGTAACTTTCTAAGGCTGTTTGCAACATTTTTGGGCTGTTTGTAACTTTGAGGTTCTTTACAACATGTTAAAAGCTGTTTGAAAGTTTTTATGACTGTTTGCAACATTTTGGGGCTGTTTATAACTTTCTGGGGCTCTTTACAACATTTTTGGGCTGTCTGAAATTTTTTAGGACTGTTTGCAACATTTTTGGGCTGTTTGTAACTTGCTGAGGGTCTCTAAAATTTTCTGGGACTGTCTGAAATATTTTTGGAACGTTTGCAACATTTTTAGGACTGTCTACAACTTTTTAGGACTGTCTACAACTTTTTAGGACTGTCTACAACTTTTTAGGACTGTCTACAACTTTTTAGGACTGTCTACAACTTTTTAGGACTGTCTACAACTTTTTAGGACTGTTTAAACAATTTAGGACTGTTTTAAACAATTTAGGACTGTTTTAAACAATTTAGGACTGTTTTAAACAATTTAGGACTGTTTTAAACAATTTAGGACTGTTTTAAACAATTTAGGACTGTTTTAAACATTTTAGGACTGTTTTTAAACTTTTAGGACTGTTTTAAACTTTATGAGGCTCTTTAAAACTTGCTGAGGTTGTGTCTAAAACTTGCTGGGACTGTTTAAAACTTTCTGGGATTGTTCAAAACGTTTTCAGACAATTATCACGTTCAAGGGGCGTTCATTATTCACGTGATCGATTTTTTAAGGATTTTAGACCATACTTTCCCATTTGAGATGCGTGGTTATATTCAAAATTAACCCTCTTTCACGTTTATTTTCAGTTACAAGAAAAAATTATAAAAATTTTGAATATTTTTCGATTTTTGGATTTTTTAAAAAAATATTTTAGCAGAGATTTCCCAACGTGATATTTTGTGATTTTTAACTAAAAACCTCACTTAATTATTATTATTTGCTTCTATTTTATATTAAATCATCATATTACGGATATTATTTTCATGTAAATTCTATCCTTTGTACTCTTATTTATTTAAATTTATGTTATTATTTATCAATATTACTAGATGTTAATTATTTAACAGTTGTAATAAATATTGAAATTAGAAAACTTAATTAATGGACGCCCCCTTAGTATTTTTCCCTTCATTGCGTTAAACGTTGAAGGCAACTTTTTTAGAAGTCACATTAAAATCATAACTTGTATATTACAAATAACAATTAACGTTACCATTATCAATTCATATTTCTATTATTACAGTCAACAAGACATCGAGCACTTCAAAGCCGAGATGGACAAACGACAAAAAGAGTCATCATCATCAGCAACAGCAACAGCATTAGCAACATCAGCAACAACAAGCAGCGAGACAAAAGAAGAAGCGACAACAAATAGCTGAATAAGCAACAACGTTCAAAATTAGTAGAAACAGTTTAGAAAACTTACATTATAAGGCAGACGCAATAATAATTTGCGATTCTTGTGATTTGAAACTAAATCATTGGAATTCAATTTTTATTGCATAGTCGATAGTTGAATTAAATTTATAGGAAAAAAATGGAAAAAACACACTCGGTACAAGAGAGAAACGACTTTTTGTGAGAAGACGACTTGTAGGAGGTAGGTGGTAATAATTTAATGTTTTTGCTACGACTGATATTTGTTTTGTAAAGCCTAAAAGTACTTTTCCATGCTACAACTACAAATCGTCTTCGTTAAAATCAAATTAAATTAATAATACATCACATTGATGGTTCGATTTTATTCTCTTTCGACGAGTGTTGATAGAAATTCATGTTCGTTTATTATTTGTCCTTCAGTAAAGTAGTCTCATTTGTAAATAATCAAATAGTCGTTTGACACAAGTGAACAATAATTAAGTAACGAACAGGTTTTCATTCTGTTTAAGATATACGTAAGGATGTACGTTTGTTAGTGTAGCCATAAAACATAAAACATGATTCATTTTGTGTATAAAATGTATATACATATATATATACGGGAAAACCACAACGTTAATGTATAAATATATATTTGCATTTAATGTAAATAAAGTAAATGAATTTATTTAATGCCATTAATACCGAGTATACAAATGACTATTGCTTGGAACTCTCTGGGGCTGTTTGCAACATTTTTGGACTGTTTAAGACTTTCTGAGGTTATTTAGAACTTGCTGGGGTTGTTAAAAAATTTCTGGGGCTGTTTGAAGCACCCTGGGACTGTTTGAACCCCTCTGGGGCTGTTTGAACCCCTCTGGGACTGTTTGAACCCCTCTGGGACTGTTTGAACCCCTCTGGGACTGTTTGAACCCCTCTGGGACTGTTTGAACCCCTCTGGGACTGTTTGAACCCCTCTGGGACTGTTTGAACCCCTCTGGGACTGTTTGAAACCTTCTGGGGCTGTTTGCATTATTTTAAGACTCTTTGGGGCTGTTTAAAACCCTTTGGGGCTGTTTAAAACCCTTTGGGGCTGTTTGCAACATTTTTAGACTGTTTAAAACTTGCTGAGCCTATTCAAAACTCTCTGGGGCTGTTTGCAACATTTTGAGACTGTTTTAAAACTCTCTCAGGCTGTTTGCAACATTTTTAGACTGTTTAAAACTTTCTGGGAGTGTTTAAAATTTTCTGAGACTTTAAAATTTTCTGGGACTGTTTACAACATTTTTGGGGCTGTTTGCATTATTCTAAGACTGTTTAAAATTGTCTGGGACTGTTTAAAATTGTCTGGGACTGTTTAAAATGTTCAGGGACCGTTTAAAATGTTTTGGGACTGTTTAAAATGTTCAGGGACCGTTTAAAATGTTCTGGGACCGTTTAAAATGTTCTGAGACTGTTTAAAATGTTCTGGGACCGTTTAAAATGTTCTGGGACTGTTTGAAATTGTCTGGGACTGTTTGCAACATTTTGAGATTGTTTAAAACACTCTGGGACTGTTTGCAACATTTTGAGATTGTTTAAAACACTCTGGGACTGTTTGCAATAATTTGAGATTGTTTAAAACTCTTTGGGGCTGTTTGCAATTTTTTTGGGGGCGACTTAAAACTTTCTCAGGCAATTTAAAACTTTCTCAGGCTGTTTAAAACTTGATGGGGATGTTTAAAACATGATGGGGATGTTTAAAACTTGATGGGGATGTTTAAAATTTTCTCAGGCTGTTAAAAACTTTCTCAGGCTGTTAAGAACTTGCTGGGACTGTTTAAAACTCTATGGGGACTGTTTAAAACTCTATGGGAGTGTTTAAAACTTTCTGTGACTGTTTAAAACTTTCTGGGGCTGTTTGCAACATTTTTAGACTGTTTAAAACTTGCTGTCATTATTTAATACTTTCTGGGAGTGTTTAAAATTTTCTGAGACTGTTTACAACATTTTTGGGGCTGTTTACAACATTTTTGGGGCTGTTTACAACATTTTTGGGGCTGTTTACAACATTTTTGGGGCTGTTTACAACATTTTTGTGGCTGTTTACAACATTTTTGGGGCTGTTTGCATTATTCTGAGACTTTAAAACTGTTTCAGGCTGTTTAAAATTGTCTGGGACTGTTTAAAATTGTCTGGGACTGTTTAAAATTGTCTGGGACTGTTTAAAATTGTCTGGGACTGTTTAAAATTGTCTGGGATGTTTAAAATTGTCTGGGACTGTTTAAAATTGTCTGGGACTGTTTAAAATTGTCTGGGACTGTTTAAAATTGTCTGGGACTGTTTAAAATTGTCTGGGACTGTTTAAAATTGTCTGGGACTGTTTAAAATTGTCTGGGACTGTTTAAAATTGTCTGGGACTGTTTAAAATTGTCTGGGACTGTTTAAAATTGTCTGGGACTGTTTAAAATTGTCTGGGACTGTTCAAAACTCTCTGGGGCTGTTTGCAACGTTTTTAGTTCTGTTTAAAACTTGCTGTCGTTGTATAATACTTTCTGGGATTGTTTAAAATTTTCTGAGACTGTTTAAAATTTTTTGGGACTGTTTACAACATTTTTGGGGCTGTTTGCATTATTCTGAGACTGTTTAAAACTGTTTCAGGCTGTTTAAAACTGACTGAGGCTGTTAAAAACTTGCTGGGGCTGTTTGCAACGTTTTTAGACTGTTTAAAACTTGTTGGCATTGTTTAATACTTTTCGGGACTGTTCAAAATTTTCTGGGACTGACGACAAATACTAAAATCGATGAGTTTTCTTACAAATTCTTAAGATTTTAATCATTTTTATGAAGAAAGTACACGAAAAATTAATAAATAAAGGTAGTAAAATTGTGAGTATTTTTGAAAATACTTTCTTTTACTGTGAAATAAATTTCTATGCAGTCTAATTTTCTAAACGAATCTTTTGTAATTAAACCATTTCCCACAGGCCTATAATATTTTAGGGCATTTATTTTAAGTACCAACCTTATCACGATGCACAATAAAATAAATCTTTCAAATTTACTTCAAAATATTGAGTTGAAAATCACTTTGGGAGGCGTCCAATGATCACGTGATCGATTTAGTTACGAGAAAAATTTGTAAAATTCTGGTAAAAAATAAATTCATGTGATAATTTGTTATTTTTTGTCAAGCCGCCCCCTTGGTGCATACTCAATTAAAAATATACATGCAATTAACAAAAAAAGCACTTTGTTTTTTAAACTGAGGATTGTCATTTGTATGCAACATTTACGAAACAAAAAAGAATATCTGTATAAAACAATGTTTCTAATATTGTTACATATCCGTTACGTAAATTTAACGTTTGTGGTTCACCGACATATATATATATTTCTATCGTTACCATAAAATCTTACCAAAAAAAATTCTTTGACTGAAAATTATCATGAATCTATGAAAATTTATAATATTGTTAATTTTTATATTAATTCATTCATTTATTAATTAAACTTTCTGCTTTGTATATGCAACTGTTACGTTTCTGTTTGTTCATTTAATTCATTCGTTGATACAGAACTGTTTTTGTTGAATTAGTATAGTAATTAGTTTTTTTTGTTCTTTAAACAGATTTACCAGGCAATTGTGCCTCATAAAATATCATTGCCATAATAATAATCATTTGTAATGAAACAGCGAAAATGTCTTTGTATTTGCCGTGCGATCAGGCGTATTTTACATATAAACAACCAAGGAAGAATCTTATGATAACAGAATCATTGATAATGCAATTATCATAAGATTTTTCCTTTGTTTATATATAAAATACGTCCGATAGCACGGCAAATAAATAGCTAAGCATTTTCACATATTTTATGAGCCAGAATTGTCCCCTTATAGTCGTAGTTTATAATTTAGTTTTATAATTGTTTAGTTACAGTTAAGATTGTGTGTTTTGTAGTCGTCTCTGCAGAAATATTTTGTTTCGACTGATTTAACTAAAATCTATGAACTTACTGAATAGATTGGAGTTATTATTAAAATTTTGTGTGATGTTCTTGCAAAAATTATTTGGACGACTGTGATAAAATAAAACAAAGTCATGGTAACTAATAAATGTTTGATCAATGGGCGTTTCTACGATAGTTCTGTATATTTATTAATGGAATTTATTACAGCTATCTCCTACTGAATTGCTGTGCTATTTATTTCGAGAACTGGCTGAAAATCATTATTCAAGATATATATATATACACACCTAAGTCTGTTTTTACGGGGTAGATTGGTTCCAGAAGAAGCCGTGTAAAAAAAAAACGTGCAAAAAAGACATTGATCTTATACAAAAATGGGTGATTTGTTCCTAATCTCTAAAACCTATTAAAATTAGTGAAAAACAAGAATTTTTAGGGTATTCCCCTAAATTAGAGCTATTCACATTTGGTTTGACCAGTAAAAATTGTTTGTACGCGCTAAAGGGGAATTCACTGAAATCTTTAAGCTAGTATTCGCAAACTATCGATACTATCGATGGCTTCAGACTTTTTTCTTTCATAAATACTTTTTTGTGATATGAACATACTTCGCAAAAATTAAATTTGACAAAAAAAATTTAAGTACATAAAATTTCAAATCGTGCTAAATGGAATAAAATCGTGTAAAAAAATTAAAAATATTCAATTTTCAAACCGTGTACAAAAAGACCGTGTAAAAACAGACTTAGGTGTATATATGTATATATGTATATATATATATATATATATATATATATATATATGTCGAAATAAAAAAGTAATAAAATATTTAAGAACTTTTATTTATACGTTTCGACACCAGATGCGTGTCATCATTCAGCAACTGCAATAAATTTGAAAAATTTTACTAATAATAAAAACCAATATAAAATAATTATTAATTATTATATATTAATTATAATTATAAATTAATAACCAGGACAAAAACCCTTAAAAAAATATTTTTTTTAATAAATTAAACTTCTATCATATTAGAAAAGGACATTTTTTTTGGAAAAAATAATGAATAACTACATAATTAAAAACATTTCGAAAAAAAAAATTTAAAAATATTTTTTTAAGTGTTTTTGTCCTAGTGGTATGTATAATGTTTCTCTATGTTTATAATTATTCTATAATTGTTTTTTATTACTAAAATTTTTCAAATTTATTGTAGTTGATAAATGACGACACGCATCTGGTGTCGAAACGTATAAATAAAAGTTCTTAAGTACTTTATTACTTCTTTATTTCGACGAATGGGCTGCTAGTTACT